GATTATATTTTATTGTATCATGAATTTTGTGTATTAGTTATTTGTTTCACCTTTGCTGATGTTTCTTATTCTTGTTGATATGGTTGTAAGACTAATCAATAAAGTTGAAAGAAAGATAGTGTTTATGTAATGGCCATATCTGCGTAGTTTCTCCAAGGTCATCTCTGTGGCTCTCTACAGTTAGCAAATAGTCTCAAATTTATTATAGAAAAAAAATTACACCCCAATCAATCAGGTTTCATTCCTAAAAGAAATATATCTAGCCCCATTAGAAAATTGCTAAATATTATTCATCTTGTAAATGTAACATGTCTTCTCTGTCAATGTGCTCATTAGATATCTTTAAAACTTCCGATTGTGTGGAAGGATAATTCTTAAAACAAACTTTAAAAGAGATTTCAGTTTGGCACTTTTTTCCCCTCATGATAGATCACATTTATAATATCATGTATGCCCAGAGAAGAATTAATAATTATGGTTCATAATAGTTCTTAATCTGAAGAGCTAACAAGCAGGATTTTTTTTATCCCTTTTGTTATTTAATCTTATTATAGAAACATTAGCGATAGCACTTCATAGCAATAAAAAAATTAAAGGAACAAAAATGAAAGATAAAACTTTATTTGCAGATGGTGTTGACTTTTATAAATTCTAGTAATTCAGCTAAATACATTGGTGGAACTGGAAGAATTTGCAGAAATATCAGAATTAACCGTTATTTTTCTTATAGTTGAGTTGGTTTGGGGGGGAAGGGATCATCTAAGCTTTAATTAGCCTCCAACATCTACCTTTTTTTTTCTTTTGACTAGAAACTGCATGTAAATCTAGTTTGGCAGTTTACATATGACTGCGCAATAACTTCAGGAAGAGTTGTTGCTTTTGAGAAAGCCAAAGGGAAACTGCGATAGCATTTGGCTGATTAGAATTCAACACGTACTGGGTTAAATTATTAAATGGTCCCATTTCATATAGAATGGCTCTCCTTACATTCTTTTTTCTTTCAGAATAGACTATTTTGTAGTATAGATGTGCAGAATAACTCTTGGAATGTTTTCCTCTCCAGGCTTATGAAGCAACCATTGAGGCCAGGGCCAATCCAGACATGAATGATAGATTTCAGCAGTTCGAAAAAGAGGTGGCACAGTACCGAGAAGAATCTGCCAAGGCTCAAGCTGAAGTTGATCGTCTGTTGGAAATCCTAAAAGAGATGGAAAATGAGAAGAATGATAAAGATAAGAAGATAGCTGAACTGGAAAGGTGAGAAGGGTGTAAGAGCATGGGGAAAGACAGACATACTTCTTACTTGATTGCTTGCTTATTTATATTATTAAATTTGTATGCCGCCCTTCTCCCCGCAACAGGTGACTCTGGGCGGCTCACAATTAAGATCAGAAACCCCATCAACAATTAAAAATCCCCCCATATAAGCTTCTTTTTAAAAAAAACTAAGGGGTGTATGCATTTTTAAAACAATGATGTTCTTCTAAATAGTTGAAAAGTCTGCCCTTTTCTGACCAGCGAAAGATAAATTGAAATTTTTGGATTCTGTCTAAATAGTGGGAACAAAAGACTGCTGAAGTTTCTTACACAGTTGTAAGAAATGTAACTTGGTGAATTTCAGTTGCATTAACAAATTAGGGAATTTATGGCTTTGAAATAGATTTTCCATGTCTTCGTATTACTTCTAGCAGTGTTTAACCATTCCCCTAAATTTGATCAATTAATAATTGGTCACAGAGAAAAATCCTAGGAACGTAACTTTGAATGCAAAATAAAACAAAAATCCCCCACAAATTTGTGTTACCTTTTCATTCAGTGAACTGTAGTTCTGAGCTCTTCAGCTGTTTTAAAAATACTCATGTATAAAAACTATTTAGAATGTGATCAGCTATTGCTTTGAAGGGTGTATTATAGAAGTCCATTACTTGGTGGTGCATGAATTCATTCTTTTTTACTAGAGATTTTCCTAACGTACTTAATATGGAGTTGGTGACGTATTTTTCTTCTGGGCACAATTTAAGGTGTTGGTTTTAGAATCTGACTATCTGAGGAGCCATCTATCTCAGTATGAACCTTTCTGGACATTATGGGTAGCAGGAGAGGTGCTTTAAATATTTTGTTTATCAGGCACATGGGAAAGGACCTTTTCCTATATTATGTCCAAGCTATAAAATGCATAGAGAGCTGCACTCAACCTCCAGCTTTTCTGCTTTCAGGAAACCAGCCAGGACCTTCCTCTTCAGCCAAGACTTTCATGTTGGAGTCAGTCTAATAGTGATTTAAACGCTTTTATGGGATTTTGACTGTTTGCTTTATTGTTTTAATTATTAATGACCTTCACTACCTATGGGCAGAAAGGCAGGATATAAATCCTATAAATAAATGCATGCTGCCAAAAGCCAGTGAAATCCTATAGATTGAAACTGCTTCTTAAGGAAAATTTTCTTTTACGGATGTGCTAATCCCCAAAATGAAATAGCTTCATGGAATTGCTATTTCTTATCTTCTGTATTAATCTTTCATTTGACATAATATTTCAGCATGTCAGTTCTTAGTAAACAGATTGATTCAGAAATCTAACCCTAACCCTAGACAATATAATCTGAAAGCAAGTACATTGTAGGAAAAGCTGTACATTTAGTGTTACTAACTCTCAGTGTCATCTTCCACATTGAGATTGATGGAAAAGTGCAAAGCAAACATCTTTGTTTATTAAGAACACACTAATAACTGATCACAGTAAATTCTCAGGATTGGACCAGCAGCTCAGCTTTATCTTTGGATGGTATTAATTCTACTTATGTTCAATAATAGTTTTAAGATGTAGGGGCCTTTCTTGCCACCTGTTATCTTGGAAGGCACTTCATAAATGAGAAGAAAAAGAGTTTTCCCATAGCTGTGTCCCACAAATAAAAAAAAATCAATGCAATGGTCAGGTAGTAGGTATAGAAAGATGTAGGGGCCTTTCTTGCCACCTGTTATCTTGGAAGGCACTTCATAAATGAGAAGAAAAAGAGTTTTCCCATAGCTGTGTCCCACAAATAAAAAAAAATCAATGCAATGGTCAGGTAGTAGGTATAGAAGAATAAGGAATGTGAAGTAAGCTGATACACAGAGAAATCAGAAGTTAGTTTGAACGTGTCATATTGCCTAATGAGTATTTTGGATGATGATCTTAGAAACTAGTTCTTAGTTTTTTTAAAAAAATAGACCTTATTTATAAATGTATTTGTTTTTATATAGCTCTGTTTATATAATGGATGTCTATTTCTGAAGTATCTTCTACTATCAACTTTTTAAAAATAGTAGTTTTAATTTATTATTTATTTCTTAGCAAGTTTTACAGAAAGAAATAGAAAAATTACAAAATACAGAAAAACCTTCTTACTGTGAACTTGCTTTCTGTATGTCTTTCCCATAATCATTTTTCACTGATACTTGTTTTGCATTTTCTTTCTCTCTCTCTTTCTCCCTCTCTCGGGTTGATTTATTGGGTGATTCCTTTGGCAATGCCTTTTCTCAGAAAGCATACTTCACGCAGACTATCCTCCTTATTCCAGGAGTCTGCCTCTACGTCACAGCCCGTGAGGGGGTTTGTATGGTAGCTTTTAGGAAACTAAGTTTTGTTCAAAGCTAATTGTTTCTTGCCTGGGAGATGCTCCTTCCTACTCATTGGCTGTAGTTTTTCTTGAGGTTTGTTGGTGTAAATATTTTCTGTGTGTGTGTGCATGTGTCTGTTTATTCCATTTTAACAGTGCAGTTTTTATAATAGTCAATCTACTGGCATAAAATTTTAAGGACTTCAAAGTGACTTATATTTTTTAATCTCACCTTTTTTTCGTTTATAATATTTCTGTGAATTCCCTGCTAGAAACCACTAGTACAATCATTTTTTAATTTTAAAGCATACATAAATAAAACATACCAGAATTTTTAAAGACAGAGCAATGGAAAGAAAACAGTAAAACAACCTAACAATTTTGAATACTGTTCAATTTCTTCCACACCAGCAGTTCTCTAACTGTTCACGTGCAATTAGATGGATAAACTTATTTCTGCAGAGTATAACTCACACATACTGATTGTGTGGTAAACTATTATCTGATATAGGCAATCTACTGGATAACCAATAATTGGGTTCATTTTGCTTCAGAGATAACTCCCAGAAATATCTGTGTATGTAGCATCTCCACTGGCATATAGTAATATATTCATAGTATATTTATTTATTTATTTATCATATTTATATAGCCGCCCATCTCACATCCAAATATAGTGTTTATCTATAGCCTTTGGAGAGTTTGTAGGAAGTACATATATTAGTGTTCACTATTTTTATATGTTATTCAGCAGATGCTGAACTAATAGTTGGTCTGCTCTCTGCTACTGAGGTGGAACAGATTATTAATGTCTTTTCTGATGTTTCTTTGAAAATAGAATTCCTGATAGTGTCTCTCCATGAATTTTGAATCCATGTGCAAAATGAGTACAAAAATTGAGGAAGCTACTATATGAGCATAGTGATTCCATTTGCAGCATCCTATTAGTATGAATGGAGGGGTTTTTTTTTACTGTAAAGAGCAAATATAAATAAAAATGAATGAGGCACAAGAAATGAGAATGGATGTCTTGAAAATGAAACATAGATTTCAGGAAATACGAAAAAGTTAGCAAGCTTCCCATTAAAAAAGATGGCTTTCAGTAGAGGGGGTATTACACAGTAAAGGATTTTGTTTATAAAATCACAAGGTCCTATCAGTGTTTTAGTTGACATGTACATTAAAATTTCATTCTCAAAGTGATATATTTGTTGTCCAGCTGATAAATTCATGATTCATTTAAGGGGTCATGATAACACAGAATCTGAAAACCCCATTATACATTATGAAAAGCATAGGGTTAATATATAATGCAGTACTTGTAACTTTGGAATATGTATGCACACACAGTTATACCATATATTTAATTTTAAAAATGTAAAGTCTACATTTGATGTTGAAACTACAAAAACAAAAATTCCTGATTTTTGTAGCCCTTTTGTAATCAGGGGCGAATGATTTATCAAACAGATCGTAAGCTGTTTTACTATGTTATTTAACCTGATACCATTTCTTGGCAAAGAATACATTTAACGTCTCACAGTTTTAAAGGAATGGTCTTGGAAATTAGATATATAAATGTATATTATAATCTCTTCTATCATAAGCAAGTAAGCGATACCTAAAAAAAGAAACAGCTGCTATCTCTGTTTTTAAATTCTTCTTGCTTAGATCAGGGGAAAAAAAGATTAAAACCTAAGTATCCCAACTAAACTGATTTCCCATGCTGATTACAACAAGAATTGGTGATACAAGTGCAGCTTTCCCAGCATAGAAGCCAAAAGATTGTCAGTTCGGTAATAATCTTCATTGACAAGGTTTAAGTAAAAGAAACTTGACCCATGCAGATCAACTTGAGTCAAAGCTGGAATAACATGGTCTTTTTCTGTTCTGCTAGAATTAAAGAGATGCTAATATGCAGTTTCTCTAAACCCACAAGAACAACGAAGCATATCATTGTACATAACTGTTCTAGTTCAGCCAAAAGAAATGAAAAAGACAGTATTAGGTCACATTTATTAAAGATAGCTATGTGCTGTCTTATCTGAATCAGTTGACAAGTTAGAAGCAACCAGTCATTGCTCTTCTCCTGTTTTGAGGAGTTTGTGCTTCATTCAAGTCCATGGATTAATACCAAATAAGCAAAAACTAACAGAATGCAAAATTACTGCTTTGAAGATAAATTGTTTAAGCAATGTGCATTTAAAATTCTTTTTTCATACTTGAAATAATGAAATAGGCTAATTTTCAGTTTTGTTCTAGCACTGTCTAATGTTTAATAGCTTCCACCTTTCACACTTATTTACAGTAGTAATAAGTTGTGTGCCAGATACATACTTTTGAGGCTTGGAAGAGGGATGGCATCTAGATGTTATAAAGAATCTGGAAAGCATGGATGCTTGAAGAAAAAAGTTGCTTGTAATAATTGTGGTATCATTTTGTAACAAGATATGATTTGTTTTAACTGACTTTGCTTGCTTAGGCCTGGGGAAGTTCCTTGGACCTTTTAAAGCCAATTTTGCTGATGTCGGCTTTTGAAGGGACATTGTCTGTTTAAATTGTCTGGCATGGGGCCGAGTTATCTGAGGGACCGCCTCTCCCCGATTACATGTACCCATCCCATCAGTTCTGGCAGAGGAGGCATGCTGTGGATCCCGT